TGCCACCCCTCCCCATAAGAACCCTACGATATGAAGATTTCTCGAATTCAAGTTGTGTGGTTACTGCGACATTCAAAGCCGACAGATGGCATGGCGGAATATAGTAACCTCCATTGCTGCTAATCCTATACAAAAGTATACGATACAAGCCTTATACAAAACCCACAGTACACATATAGACGAACCACTACTTAACTACATAAGCCCTCAGATGCAGAAGCACATAGGAACTCTGCCTGTGTTCCTATTCTTCTGTTTCCCGATGATGCAGCGTTTCTGACTGCTGCATTTCAGGCATTGCCGTGGCATGTGTGTTGCATACTATTACGGGCTTGTAATTACGACAAGCTGTTCGGTCTCCGTCCGTCCAGCCAAAAACGCAGCCTTACGTGTTAGGTGCTTGCTGCTGCCAGCAGTCTAGTCGACGCCGCTACTGACGAGTGCTCCTTGCGACAGGGGCCACACCAAGTTGCAGGCCCTACAGCGTGGCTTGGGGGGTCGGTTTAAGGTCGAAATCCTGAACCCGAAGCCTAACAAAAACCCAACACTAAACCCCTCCACCCTATGCCCTAGAATCCTAGAACCTGTGTGGTTTTGTAGTCTCTGGGATACATTACAGGATGCAGAAAATACATAATAAGGAACCGCAAGGAAGAATGTCCCTGTTGTAAGTTGCTTTGGACATGATGCGATCAGGTCTAAACCCCTACACCCCGAACCCTACAAGCCTAAAGCCCCAAACCGTAAAAGCCTTTAAACCCGAAAACCCGCAAGCCCTTGAAACCCTAAACTCTAAAAACCCTAGAACCACAAACAAATCTAAACCGCAGACCAATTGGTCTTGGAGGCTCTGGCTCCCTGAGTCCAAGTTTCCCGGCCGAGCTCCTCTGCTGGAAGCAAAAGGCCTGCGAGCCCTGCATGCAAGAAGCCAGGGGCGGTTCTAGTGACTCTTTTTTTTTGTTTAAGTGCAGTGGCCTTTTCTGTGCTAGTGACTCTAGTCTTCAGGTTTTGCGAGTTTGATTTGTTTTCGGGTGTTTCCACTTTCGGGCGGTTTTTGAGGCTGTTGTTGAGTTCAGGCTTCTGTTCTGTTTTGTTTGGCTGTGGTGTTTTAGGGGTTTGTGGTTTTCGAATGTTGAGTCTCGCTTCCCTTATTCGTTTCGCGTTCCTTGTCTGTAAGGTTCTTGCAACTTACTTAATGTTCCTTTGTAGGAATACCAACAGAGAACCGTGATAAAATCCCGAACGAAAGCCTACATTCCCCTTAATTAGAAAAACCACAGAGAACCCACAAACACGCTGGCAAAGCCTTTCAGTTCCTGAACCAAAGCAACATCCTCATAGAGAACCCTCAGCCTTAGACAACCCAACAAAGACCTTAATTTAATGTAGGGGCCTTAATAATTAGAAAAGGGTCTTAGGGGTTCCTTATTTAAAGTAAACTAGACCACAAAACCCTATTCTAAGTATTAAGGCCCCTACATTCCTAGACCCCCCAACTACCCTCTAATATACCCGCTAAGGAGTATCAGGGCTCAATTAAGGGGCACTAGGGGAGTCCTGGTTGTTTAGGGTGGAGGGTTTAGGGTTTAGGGTTCAGGGTTTAGGGTTTAGCCAAGTCTAAGTCCTCCCTAAACCCTAAACCCTAAACCCTAAACCGTGGTGAGCAGGGCCTCTTTTCCTGTGGCATAGAGGGAGACCCAGGGATCGGAACCTTCGATTCGTGGAGCTGAAAGCGCACTATAGGGGCCTTTATAATTACCTA